AACAGTTTTACTTTTACAAGCGAAACATTATGGCTTTTGCCATGATGATCCACTTGTTATAAAAATGAAACTATTATAAACATATAGATATATGAAAACATATTTGAAACTATAAACAATTGCTTTATGCCTCTTTTTAAGCTACTTGATTTAACTAATTTCTATTTTCAGACATCCAATCTAATTTTACATATTGCAGTTTCTACAGTACAAATGAAACTATTTTAATATATATATACATGAAGAACTATTTCAAACTATATATTAAAAAACTCCTATAGGTCTTCTCCAAAGCTCTTTTATTTGGCCAAGTAGTTCTTCGGCATCCAATCTGGAGTGACACATCACAGACTCTGTAGTAAAAAAAAAAAAGACAAAAAAAAAACTAATTTAATATACATGACATTTTTAAACATCTATTTGATTTATGAATGAATAAAGTAAAAATTAAACTTTGTTTAAACAAAGGTTTCAGAATGATTAACAAACGTCACCCAAGAAAAAAAGAGCATATATCCACTGGATTCCTCCTATCAAACCTAGATATACAACATCATCAATCTCAAGTTAAAATGAACAAAATCTGCAAATAAATTAGCCTTAATTAGTTATGTACTTATCTGGTCAGATTGCACCACCTGGGACATCTAAAGAAACAAGAACTTCATCTTCTCCTCAGATTGGGTGAGGGTCCAAGTCCATGAGGTAGGCAGAGTGTCCTGGACTAAAAATACACAGTCATTCCATCAATAGACAACTAGTATCAACAACAACGAAAAAAGTAACTACTTTTAAGGTTGCTACAATTTAGATACATTTGCTACATTTCATGGGCCGCACCTCCAGGTCTCGTTTCCTCTCTCTCTTCTTGGGCAGCCTCGAAGCATCGTTCTGCTTGGAACTACCTGCAAAACAACCTGCTAAAACAGACTAAAACTGGGAGAAAAAAGGGTTAAATCCACCAAAACCAGACAAATTCTCACCATATGGAGGGAGTCTAATAGGATAAATGTGCGTTTAAGTTTTGTTCCGCTAGTGAAGTGAAGGTAACCACTAGGAGGCTGTAGCAGTAAAAAGTGCAGTGTGATTGGGGAGCGATGAAAAAAGGAGAGCTATAATTAAATAACGCAAATGGTGAATAAAAAAGCAGTTTCGCAAACAAATTATGACAGAAGGGCAACAGTTACTCTAACTGGATTAGAAAAATAAGGAAAAGTCTGGGCCACACTGAAGACCTATTTAAAACTATTTTAATTTCAAAATAGAACAGAATATACATGTAGTAGCTGATTGTTTTATCTACTTCTTCCTGGTGCAATATTTCCAGCAACTCCTCTGACAGAGAACCGATAAGTGATTCAAGATCAGCCACTTTCGTATTCTCAAAGCTCAAAAACTTTCATGTGCATGTCCAAAACCTATTTAAGAAGCCTCCTTTCTATGGAACTAAATAAGTACTGAAAAGATTCAAAGTGTACAAGAATATTTGGATGCCTACAACAAAATCCACAAGCATACACTATAATTCACAAATGTGCACAATGAATAAATATATATCAAACCCACTGCAACAATGATAAAGAAAAACAATCCACACTGCTTTCTGATTGTCAGATGTATGAAAGACACAGTCAGATAAAGTGACATTAAAAA